CCAATTTTAGCAAATAAATATATGCATCAATTGAAGGTACACCTAATTCAAGAAGCACCTTCAGTCCATTATTTTTGGTTAGGTATATGAATGACCGTTTCGCCGTTTGTCAATATGGCAAAGAAAAGCCGGATCATTTCCTACTTCTAATAAGTATAATAGATGGCAAGAGTAAAGCATGGAAAAAAATAGTTAGCCTTTTCTAGATGTCGCAGTAAGCAAAGGGAACCAAATTAAGTAGACGTATATAGAAGACCTTCAAAGGCGAATTGCCTTTACAGTAAAAAACATACTTATGGAGTTAAGGCAAAAGTAATAAGAAGCCTGCATTTTGAAAATGTTAATTATTGGGGTCAGGAATTCAGGTGACTAGAGAGAATTATGATTGAGAATAATTATCGACTATGACTAATGGGCAATTAATTTACAGTATTGGCAAATAAGGAGAGAGACTATTATTTGGAGCACGATATATGGTTATTCAACTCTACTAGGGTCCTAATATTTCCATTCTGACATGTCTAGAAAAAGATGGCCAAATCACTGAAGGAATTTGGTATCAAGAAAGTGATAACGAAAGAGAGCATTATTCACGGTTCTCTAATTTTTATGGAAGCATTCGGATCCACTTTCCGAATCGGGCTGTTTTGCGTTATTGTGGTATTGTCTGTGGAAATGAGACTTATCGGCCCACACATACGAGGCTATTTGAACAAAAAACAGCCTGTGAAGATTTGAGTTTAGAACTTGGTACTTGCCAAACAAAGGATTCACACAGAGCGCCAGGCAGACTGATTTAGAGACAAACACTTAGCTTGAAATTGAGATTATACCAATAGGCGAAAGATGGAAAAATCTATATAAATCAGCAAAACGACCAACACCGGGAAAGGGAAAAATGTGTAGGAAATTAAATAATCTACTTGTGGACATTCTCGGTTACATGACTTTTCCGTGAACATTTAAGTAAAACATATGACATTCAAATAAATCATGCGATATCTCATTAAATGGATAGTTAGGTTAAGTATGAAGGCTTGCAGCCTTCTAGTTTGCCCGTCTCTATGCTTATTGGATTATCGTAAACCGTGATTTCCTACGATAGATGTCACATTTCAGGCGAAAGCTCAGCAGGGATTCACGGGGTAGCACGACGGTGCGTCGACGACTTATTCGAACAAATGTAGTCAGCTCGAAGGCAATCCTTCTTCAGCTTTTGGTAACGCCAATTTACCTCTTAAACGAATTAAAGGATGCTCCAAAGTTAATCTATTAGGTGATTCTATGAGAACAAGTTTTCCCTCATAGTATGTAAGCTATTTATAGCATAGTGTATGTATAAGGAATAACAGACTTGGCGCGAAAACTAGTTGGAAGTGTAGTCTTCAGATAGTGTAGCAAGCCCATTTACTGGCCTAAGCAGTTATAGGAACAAAATAGGTAAGGATTAGCATAATACAAACCTTTTTCAGCCTTTTATCAAATCTTTTATTCGCTTTTTCGAGTGTAAGTGAGCTTATGGACCTCACTTCCATTTCGTGATGTTGTTTAATCAAGGAAACGGTGTCCTTACTACCAGAATTTGCTATTTCAGCGTCACTTCTAGTCTTCTCTAATTCTGCATTCAACTGTTCTACCCGGAGAATAACTTCAGAATGTTTAACCCGAGCTTCATTCAGGTCAAAAATTAGGGCTTCGCGACGCTGCTTAGTTCTCAAAATAAATTCCTGGAAAGACTCAAGCACTTTAATATCACAATTTAGTTTGAGCGTTTCTAATAGGTCTGCGATTAAATTATCATCGTCAGGGTAACAAGAGATTAGGGACAGGCCGCATGATTGCTCTGTCGGTAAGCTGACAGATTCATTTTGGTCTGATTCTACCTTTGAATCGGCACTAAAAACAACGCACTCCGTCATATTTCAGAGTAAACAGCAGAAAGGGGATAACGGAGAAGCAGGAGGTTAAGAAAAGTTTACGGATAAGGCGCGCTTAAATCATACCAACTATTTATATATTTCAAATGTATAATTAGCCAAATTTATTTTAAAGGTACAAATGCATTAAAAAGGCAGGGTAATAATTTAAATAATTACATGTGTTATCTTAAGTTCTAGCTTTTTTTATGAACTTAATTTAAAATATTACATTTTGCATTCATATCTGCCTTATAGCTGCCGTGCCTATTTTTCTGCCCCCCGTCGCTTATGCCATCTCTCCCGGTGCCTCCTTCTTTCCGTAGCCGGAGCCCACAACAGTAAACCAAATTGTTTTTATTAAGGATCCTTTAGTGTCCTTTCGACCGTTTGCTAAAATAAAGACAAGTGATAATGATTACGAAATGCGGAAGCGTCGTATTACAATAGGGAGAAGTAGCACTAAGGGTTCGAATGACGTCGACGTTGGGTTCTCTTCCTTTATATCCAGACAACACTTGGAGATAATTTGGGGCTACAACAGGCTTAAGCTCAAATGTCACGGAAAGAATGGCATATTTCTTAACGATGCCTTCAAGTCTCATGGTGCAATTTGGTACGATCTCCCACCAAAGTAAGTGGTCCCTCTGTCTATTATTCGCTCACAGATGCACGCTTAGGTTCCCTAGTACAGCAATAAAGGTCATGATTGAACAACTTCGGGGTTTCTATAGATCGTTCGTTAAAGATGTCCGCAAATCCATGCATTTGAAGACGGAAGGCTTATTTCGCACCAAAAGGCGTGTGAACAAAAAAGCCACTAAGGATAAAATAATTAAAGCAAGCTGCCAAGATTGCTCGTTTGACGACGATATTCCGAGCTTGGTTGCTTCGCATGATGATTTCATTCAATCTTCCTTTGTCTCTCCAAACGAATCTGTCTTCCAGTCCCGGAGTAGGGCCCGCCGTAAGCAGCATTTGGCTCCAACAGCTAAAAAAATTTCCAATTTTTCTTTAAAGGAATTAAGCTTTGCCTCACTTGAAAACACAAAGGAATGTTCACATAATGGTGACACCTCAGAATCCTCGTAAGCAACATTTTTCTTGGCTCCAGCTTTTTTGGATACGCAATTTTCATATTTATCCAAAAATTAAAATATTCAGTTACCATGTTACTATGTTTTTACGTTCTGAGCCTTCATGATTCTTAATTTTTAAATTTATGCTACTTCTCGAACTCGATTGCATTTCAGACATTTCCGTCTCTTGGATGATTTGACTCAAATG